GATTTCCACCTCAAGGTCTGTGCACATAAAAGTTTATTTTCCACTGGGAAAGCAGATTGGATTCAGTCTTGTTTTAGTTTACTAACCGAAGGTATTTCTGTCAGCTCAAAGCAATCCCTGATCTGTTCTGCCCAGCTAGTCTCTATCAAGATCTGACTTAGACTGGAATGCCAGCCTTGTGTACAAGGAATCAAGGCAGAAGAAGCGATACATTTTGGGTTCAAGACAGGGAAGATGAGCAGACTAACATCCACAGATTTTTAAGAACATTCCCAATGGTCCTGTTAGACTTAAAATTGTTTTGTGGGACTGAGGTCTAGTTGATAATGCTTATAATAGGATGGCTGCTAATGAAAAGACATTTAATTGGATTGTTACTTGAAACCAATGCTGCCCAGGAGAGAATTTCGGTATGGTTCTTTATAATGTGATGGTACGTGAATGAGCAATGATCATGCAGCAGTTGCCTATAAAAAAAGGCTAAGGTAATTTAAATACTCACTATTAAGCCCCACTAAGCATTTTAATATAGGTAGTCATTCCCTAACTCCTACTTCAAAAATGTGGAGCCAAACTTTATTCTAAGTATTTCTTTCTCTATAATTCCACATCTTCTTGCTATTCAGCAAATAGCAAGGAAATAGAAATAACTTTTGAATATAGTCTACCACTTCATCTTTTTATATTTTTACTTTACATGCTTTAATATAGTATGATTTTTTTTAAATAAAATCAGATACTTAGGCAATAAGAGATGAGTAGAGCTGAGATAAAATGACTGGCCCAAGGGCAGGCAGCTGGCTTTATGCCCAAGTCTGGACTAGAAATCACAGTCTAGCCTCATGCTTTAACTACTACACATTTTATAGTAGTATATTGTAAATATAATATGCAAATATAAATGATTATATATAATTATAAATTACATAAATTATAATTCATTAAATTTGAATGCCACCTGACTCCCAAAGATTCTGGGCAACTCACAAGTAAAAACATTTTTAAAAAATACAATGAGAAAAAAATGAAATAATAGAAGATCGCAAAGGTGACAACAATTGGATAGGAATGACAAAGAAATGAACCCAGATAATCAAAATTTATATATAGCATGCTCAAATATAATTATATGTATAATATTCAAATATAAATGATGTTTATACACCACACACACACACACACACACACACACACACACACATGATTCCCAAATATATTAGCAAACATAGGAATTACATGTATGTTACATGATTCCAGCAATCAGCATTGCTTTATTTCCTAGCACATGCAAAGAAGGCTTTGGTCCAGAACGTCACTTAAAAGCAATTCCATGAAAATAAAGAAAGTTTTGGGATTCAGAAATACTAATAATGATTTAAAAATCTGGGCAACATGCAACCTCCTTTGATCTGACATTCCATGCAGTCCTGATCCTGCCATTATGGAGTTATGAGGATCAAGCAGAAATTACTTTGTAGAAAGGGCTCCTGGCTTTTATTTGAAAATGACAGTGATAAACTAATATGGTAGCTGTCTTGTCAACTCTGGCCTTATATGAGTTAAAGCAGGAGAAAAACGAAAATAATAAATAGTAAAGCAAAAAGGTGAAAATAACACCAAGGAATTCTGATTGGCTAGCTTCGCATTTTCTCAGGCTGTGGTCATGTGACACAAAGTAGCCAGTTACCTATATTATATAAATCCACTCAGAATAGGCATACCTATTTTTCTATCACCCTCACCACATCTAACATTGTCCTTCCTATTCTGATGGCTCTTCTTCTGAATATTTTTTTTCCCGGAGTTTATATAGTCCAATCTGATGGTTTAGATTTTTCAACCTAAAGTCATCCCCACCAAACTTTACTGTACAGAATAATCCAGTTAATTTATTGATTCTTCTGTAAAGCAGGCAATAAAGTTTTCAGTGCTGACACTCATTAAGCTTAATTCTGCCTCAGAAGAAGTAACTTGTTCTCATGGGACTTTTGAAGATGAAATATTGCTTCTGGGATTGCTTAATAAAATATTTTGTTCTCAGAGGGACTTAGAATAGATGAGTTGTCCAAGTATCTACCTCACAGAAATGCTTTGGGGAAATTTTCCAGATTTTTTTTTTCCTCAGCAAGCCCTGACTAAATTTGATCCATTTTTGTACTTGATTTTTCTTTCTTGCCACACCAAATTTGATTCAAATATTTTCAGAGAGTTAATCTGCAGATGGACAGGCCATGCCCTTAGAGATTACATACTTTCTTTCCAACATTTCTGTGGATTGGAAAGACTAAAAAACAGTATAAGATTCTTAAAATATCGAAGAATATGCTGATATTTTTAACCCTGCGCTAAGACAATGCATTGGGTTTTAAATGCTAGACAGAAATAAATCTTGTAACCAGAGCAACGTTATGAAGCACAATGTAGTATTTCTGTGCAATACCTCACATGTGATTTTGAAAAGGAGCTTCAGAGTGTCCAGAAGTGCAAACACCGTACTATGGGAAAGAAAACTTAATTCTAACTCCTACTGTGGGAAGGAGCTCCTTCCTTTTTTTACAGCAAGGTTTATTTCAGTTCATTTGTCTTCTCAAGACCACAAGCCCAACAGTCAGTCTCCAAAATAATTTATTTTTAAGGATGTGTGGAATCTGGTCTATCACACAAAGGAGACAATAACAATGCTCCCAAGAAGAAAGACCCCCTCCCATTGCCAAACAGAGGCCATATCTACTTGACAGAAACAAAAAGACTCAAATTGCAAAAAAGATTATTGGTTACAAGACAGGCAACAAACAACTCTGTACTTAGATATGGATAAAGTCATAGTAAGATAAAGTGTTCAATATATATTTGAGAAATATGCACTAAGCAATTTTTTATCTCTACTATGCTATGTCCTAGGCTGTACCAAGTGCAGAGATTTCACTATTTTCCTAAAGTACCCCTTTTCAAGAATTTAAAGCATCTGCACAGCTTCTTTTGGAGGCTAAACTGAAGACATTGCTTGGCCTTGTAAATATTTATTTTAAAGTATTTGTAAACTGCCCAGAGTCACTGAGGTAAATGAGTGTTAGAGGAATTTGATAAGTAAATAAATAAAATCAGAAATCTAATCAGGCAGAAAAAAAAATCTAAGCTTTGCTTAGCCTTATTAATTACTCCATTGCATACTGTGAATTTCCTCAATGATTGCTTCTTCCCAGTGCTCCTCTGATATCTACTAAAAATTAAATCAACACTAGGAAAAGATCTCCCTCCTTATTTTTTTTTTATAATGTCTTGTGATTTCTATCTGTCTCTTTTCTGTCTGTGGATAGCTTTTAAACTGTTCATTTATATAATCATATTTCAATGTACTCTGTTAGATCTGGTTTTTACTATGACATCAGCATTTGAAAGTCATTCTCATAATCCCTTGAAACATGGGACATAGATCCCTTAAGTCAAAATGAATCAATGATATCTTTGAGCTAATGCAGACTTTAAAACTAAGACTTTATTTTTCAGAATGGAGCAAAATAGGGAATTTGATCTCAACAGATGGCAGCACTGCCTAATCTTGTCTTCAGAATTAAGTGGGGTCATGCATGGTGAATGTATGGATAGAAATCAGGTTAGATCGTTTTTTAAAAAAACTCCAATAAAGTCCAGTGGTTTGTGTCTTCTGTGTCCAGGATGTCACAAACGCTAATCTCAACTTGAAAGTATCTTTATTTTTAGGCAAAAAATAAAAAGCACAATCAATAAAATTTCCATTTTTTAAAAAAAGAAATACTAAGCCATACAAGAGCACTGTCCTCTTTGCATCTTATTCCATTCCATAAACTTGCATGGAACAATGGAGAGAGTGAAAGTATTAGACAACAATAATCAAGAAGACTTTTCAGTTAACATAAATGATGAAAAATATGGTCCAAATCTAGTCCAAAAGTCAAAAGTACACTACTACCGTGTTTCTCTGAAAATAAGACCTACCCCCAAAATGAGCCCTAGCCTGATTTTTTGAGGTGGGCTTAATATAAGCCCCAATCAAAAATAAGTCCAGGGGGATGGGTGTGGCCAGCACAAAAGGGGGAAAGTGCATGGGGGCCGATGGCATCCGGCAGCAGCTGCAGCCCGTTGTCCCCTTGGAACAGCACAGATACGCCCGAGAGCAGAGGTAGAGGTGAGGAGGAGGCTGGTGATCTGGATGTGCTGTGTGGCTGCCTGGCTCATGGGAGGCTTGCAGGAGGCTTATGCGGTGGCACCGGTAGCAGGCAGAGGCAAAGGCACAAGGGGGAAGCAGATGATCCCAGCGCAGCCATAGACAACCCAAGAGATGGTGGGACAGAGTGGGCAATGTGTCGGGATTGTTCCTCTGCCTCCACCTGCTGCTGGTGCTGCCATGCAAGCCTCCCCCGCCTGGCTCCGCCACATACTTTTTGCCCAAAGGGAGACTGGAAGCTTCAAATTGAGCACTTTGAAATGAAGTGATTAGCAAAAAGAGTTTTTGGGCGCCTAAGCGGCACTTGGAAATGGAGCAAATCACAAATTGCTCCATTTCAAAGCATCCCATTTACAAGTAGATTAAGTTTCCAGTCTCCATCATTTCTCCGTCTGGGTGAAAAGTGTTTCTGCCCTGGGAAGCCCTGTAAGTCGTTGTGGCCGTGGGCAAGCAGAGAGTGGGAGGGAATGGGTTGGACAAAACTTGTGATGGAGGTGGAAGTTGAGAAATATGAATAGCAAAGCAAGAGTTCTGGGGCTGCCTGGAATGTGAGCTTTTTCAAACAAAGCATTTGCAGCAATTATCTCAAAGGTGCTTTCACCAAAAAGCACTGAACTATTTTTTTCCCCTTAACATTTTGCTTCTCATCCAAGAAGCTTCTTTAGTTCTAACTGACTGGTGGGGAATGAAAGGATTTATATTCTTTGCAGTCATCTGGTTGTTAGCACTCTGAGGGTCGGTGATTATCTCTGTGAGAGTCATTGAGGCCACTTGGGGGTTTTATCTCTATTCTCAGAATCACTTGGATCACAGTGTAACCCAGTGTGGAACTATCGTGGGACTCAAGAAGGACAAAAAACCAAGAAAGTCCAGTTGCTTTTCGGAAGAAGCAGCTTTGGGATAATTGCTGCAAGTGTTTTGCAAGTCGCAACTGGCAGCTAGATTGACAGCATCAGTATCCTTTTTTCAATAAATTCAATTTTTGTTTCAATTGTTATTCTTTTTATAGGATAAATTTATGCCTCCATGAAAAATAAATATAAGCTCAGAAATAAAGAACCATAATTTATTAATATAAAATTGTCAACCTAAATCCAACTTGGTTTTTAATGATTTGTTGCTAAGAAAAAAAAGTAATGTTAAATGCTCTATTCTCCAGAATATTTTCTATAAGTACCGGGAGTAGAAAGGTAACCAGATAGATAGTCAGATAGACACATGCATATATACACATCCATAGTAAGAGATTTTTTTTTCCCCTTTGAGAAATGTGGGCAGACTTCTCCAGAACTCCATCTGCTAATGGAAGTATCTCATCATTTCTTAATGGTATCATTCATGCAGGTCATTCCAGAGACATAACACATGTGGTCTCTGATTCTCAGAAATAAAGATTTGTACTATATAGCACTCTGCGTCCACAGAGGACTATACATAACACCAGAATGCGTATTTTTATTTCTGTAAGATCTTAGTAATATCTATCAATATTTTATCATTTAACAAAGCTGAAATATCAAAAATCTTTCCTTGATGTCACAGAATAAATGAAGCATAATATTTCAGATTCTCTGAGATTCTTGAATATTTTGTTGCACTGATACATTTCTTCACATACATTATTTTCTGAAGACATTTTGTTAGCACTGGAAATTATGGAAGTGCTATAGTTTATGTTTTAGGCAAAGATATAGGAGCTTTTCTCTGAAAATGCTATGACCAACAGATAGATGAATTAATACAGCAGAACTGGGGGATCTGTGATCATCCAGATGTCTTTAGATTAAAGTTCCCATCTACCTCAGCCGACAGGGTGAATGAAGATGGGAGTGATAGTTTGATGATTTTAATCTTTATAGAAGCTCTCTTAGATCAAACAAAGGTTTATACACTTTTCCTATGTTAAAACCAATATTGCCTGCAATACTGTAGTAAAAAATTATGCCATCATTGAAAATGATTGTTCAGAATAGGAAGCCAAGAGGACTAAAGTTTTTCCATTATTTTATGGCCATTGTTTTAAGCTTTCTAGCCTCAATTTTTAATTCTCAGAACAACTCCTAATCATGCTGTTGATTATGCTTGGCACAACTTTTCACATATCAATAACAAGGTAAGGGGAAAAATAGTGTGATCATCTACAAAGCTTAACACATTCATTTTATAGCTTATATCTGTAAAGTCCCTGTCTTTAAAGATTAAAGACAGCCAGTGAGGTAAGGAGTAGTGAGATCCTGGTTCTAGTCTAGGTTGTAAGGAAAAATTGTAGGAGAAAAAAATTGGTATGCCCCCTAGAGCTCTGATAGAAAAGGGAACCTTCTTAGAAACATAGAATAATAGGGTTTGAAGGGACCTTGAGGTCTTCTAGTCCAATCCCTATTCAAGTCAGGAACCTTATACCTTCTTATATATAAGTTTATACAACTTCTTATGTAACTCCTGCATATAGTATCCCTCATTTTCCTTGCCACCCCATACTTTCAGGAATGAGCTCAAGAGGTAGTAGCACAACTTTGAAATATATACCATAGTCCTGTTGCTTCCTCAGCTTTCAGTCCCAATATGTTTGTGATTAATGCTTATAGCAACACATTTTCGTCTGTAATGATCATCTTTGATACCTCTTCTTCATAATTCCAAACAAAGTTATTTGCTTCTATCTGTCAGCATGTCTGTGGCTAAAGTTTTCAAATCTTACATTTAAAGGGGATGCTACATAAAAAGAAAAATGTCTTGTTTTGCAAAGCTCCATTTAGAAAGTTTCAGCCAAGGAATGGGGTAGAAATGAAATTAATAAAGGTCACAATAATCAATATTATGGAATTTCTACACAATCACATTGGAAAACTGGCCTGACCAAACTAAAGAAATTTTAAATGTTCTTTGGCGTTTGTATTCAATGCTTATATCTTGCTTATTCTTACTTTTTGTGAGTGCCTTCTTCTATCCATCCTCTCATTTTTGGTTAGAGTAGAGTTTATTATTTCATCCAGATCAATAAACTATTTTTATACGTGTGCTGCAAACTAGTGCAAGGTTTTCAAAACAATAACTCAGGAAAATATAACAGGAAAATCTTTATTCTTTTCTCTCCAAAATCCTCTCTATCCATTCAGTACACACATCTGTGCCCTAAGTGTCAAATTAGACCATGAATAACAAATAAGGTATTTTATCATACTTGGATTAATCATTTATACAGCACTTCAAACATGTAAACTATTTTTTAATATTTATTTCATTCCTTCCTGTAAAATGTCACCTTGCCTTTCTGTCAATATACCATTATCAACATAGTAGCTAGTTTGACCTTAAAAACGTTGAAAATGTTAGTGATTTTAATGTTGTAAAATAAATTTGAATAATGCACTACTCACAGTTATTAAATTTTCGGTCCAATGAAAGTTAGAGACAGAGTGGAAGAGACACTTTTAATGATGATGAAAATCTAGATGGTATAAATATGATACAAAAAATTAGTACTGTTTTATATATTCCCAAAGTACTGAACATAATCCAGCCTGATTTCAGTAATTTAAAATACTACTGATTTGAACATAAAGTTAAAAACCCTATTTTGTTTGTTGCATTTCCTTCAGGAGTTCAAGATGGCATATAAAGCACTCTCCCTATGCTGTCATTATATTCACCTTGTTAAGTAGATTAGGATAAAAAAGAAAGAAAAAGAAAAAGAGACTGAAGTACATAATCTACCATATAAATTACACAGCTGAATAGAAATTTAAATTTAGATCTCCCAGTCACAGTGCAGCATTCTAACTTTTACACTGCATTGATGCTTTCTATGACTTATATTGAAAACTGTTGGAACAGAAGGATTTGCTTCTTCTTTTTTATCTGTCTCTTCCTCTTTTCCACCGTGCACCCCCTGAACATCTTCATAGTAGATCAGATTCTTTCAAACAGTACAGATTGCAATGATATACAGAATGGGAAGCTCTGATACAAAGGAAAGGTTGCTATAGGGTGAGAGTTGGTGACTTTGGCTATAAACTAAAGGCATCAATGACCTTTTGTTGAACAACACTATGACTACTGCCTTCGTTAATTTTCTTTGTGGTATGTTCAGAAACTACACTATTTTATTTTTTTATTTATTTACATTTTTCAGTATTATGTTTTGAAATGCTGATGGTAGAATAAATGAATCAATAGCTAGTTAATTCAAGCTCACATAATTATATTTTCACGTGATGTTATGGCTTAATTCCTTTGGCCATTGTTTACCAAGGAAATCATCAAGAACTCAGTATATGGTGTATTCTATTATGCCTACAACTCAGTTGAGCAGAATATTACGTGTTGCAATAGTTATTTTAGTTACTGTTGCTTAAGACTTCTGACCTACAAAATCTTACTTTGTAAAGCCCCCAATAGCTAACAAAATAGTGTACGATTGCATACTGCATATACCACATATACATATATGCTATATATACACAGCTCAACAGAACAGCAACAAGTAATGCATAAATGCAATAGATCTATCAAAATACATAACAAAAGGGAACAAGTTCCATTTCATGTCTATGGAGCTTCTCAGTCATCCAGGTCATGGTTGTCCCAAAGGTGCCTTTTCACAAGGCAACTGGACTTCCTTTTTTCTCTTGAAGATGTTTTGCTTCTTGTCCAAGAAGCTCTGAGCTGAAGAAGGTTCTTGGATAAGAAGCAATTGTCTTCATAGAGAAAAAAGAAAGTCCAGTTGCCTCATGAAAAAGCACCTTTGGGACAAGTTCCATTTCAGTCTCCATTTATGTTCAGTAACGTCAGTTTAGAATTGTGCTAGCGAAGCCTAGGATGCAATGTTGTTAACCGATTAATGTAGATTGATAAACTACTTTTCTCATGAAATTAGATAAAATAAGATAACCTTTATTGTCATTTTTTTACTGTGGGCACAATGGCACACATCAAAAATGAAATTTAGTTGCCACTCTCAAAGGGAAACACATACATGACACACACCTAAACATACTATGTACAACATATGTATAGAGCCACACCCCTACATATACATAACAAATAAATATTAAATACTGTCCATCTTGAATATATAACGGAAGGAGGAAGCTTGAGAGTTCACAAGATTAATGCTGTATGGAATGAAACTATGGCTGAATCTGGATGTTCTGCTTCGGATACCAAAAAGTCTCCTCCCAGAAGGTAACAAGGAAAACAGGGCGTGAAGAGGATGTGTAGTGTCCCAGTTAATCTTACAGACCCTGCTCAAGCAACGCTTCTGTGCTATGTCCTGGATGGGAGGGAGAGAGCTGCCAATGATCTTTTCGGCCATCCTCACCATTCTCTGCACCACCTTCCTGTCTGAAGCAGTGATGCTTCCAAACCAGACTGTGATGCTGTATGACAGGATGCTCTAAATCATCCCCCTGTAGAAAGTGGTCAGGACAGGGGAAGGAAGATGTGCTTTTCTCATGCAATGCAGAAAATGCAGGCGCTGCTGTGCCCACTTCACCAGTTTCTCACTGTTGAGTGACCAAGCCAGCCTACTCGTTAGCTGCACACCCAGGAATTTGATGCTGGTAATCATCTCCACAGGTGAATCATTAATGCACAGAGAAGTGTGGCTGTGCCTGCCTTTTCTGAAATTCAATATTCATAATGAACCTTGATGAACCTATTGCGGTTACATCACAAAAACAGGTAATACTCTTCCCCAAAGTCATTTCATTTTTAGTATGAACATAGGCAGATTAATGGAACAAATAAGGGCAAAGTAATGGTTAAGGCACCAAGTTCTATTTATACCTTAGGTATCAAGCTGTGTGGGTGATCTTGGGTCAGTCACTCTAAGCCCTAGGAAGAAAGCAGCAATAGAAAACCACTTCCAAAATCTAGCCAAGAAAATATCATGAATATGTCCGGGCAGTTACCAGCAGTCAACACTGACTCACAGAAGTAAATAAATGAATTATAAAATAAAATACATGTCTTGCAGTAATATTTCCTGTCTTTATTATTTCCTTATTAAGGGAAAAGTTATTTGTTACTTTAAGTGATCATATAAGTTAAAGCCGCTCCTAAAATATGACTTTTGAGCAAATGTAAAGAGTGTTGTGGAGTGAGCTAATGGCTTGAATAATAAATAAATAATGGGCTTACCGCATGCCAAAACCTGATAATGTGCAATAGGATATGCTATTTTAATGTTATATTATAGGCTT